GTGTCTAAAAATAAATTTATTGACAGCAGATTCATATAAAATATGTCCTTCGCAATTGAAAGACAAAATGTTATATTTTTGTTATATATTTCCTTTTTGTTTAAAATTATTGAATTGGCAATTTATTTTCATCAAAATAATCATACTCACTTGTGCAAAATTTTCATTGGATTTTATCTTCCATCTGCATTCACCTGGATCAATTACATATGTGTAACTAATGAAGATCTTTTTCATCAGGTTTTGGTGACTGACACTTATAACTCTAATTTACTCCAAAGATAAAATAAAAAAAAAATAAAATAAAATTATATTATAGTTCAAATTCTACTGAAGTTCACAATTATAAAACAAGCAATTAAATCATTTAATACTATTACAAAAGAGAAGATAAAATTTAAAATAATTATTTATTATAACAAAATAAATTACCAGTATAAGTAAATCTTTCATAGCAACGAAGTCGGAGGATATTCGTTTTCTCTAATATGAAATGCTCAAACGAAATCGTTTTAATAATTTAATTACTTATAAATATTTATAATTTATCTATTCATATGAATATTCATATGGATGTTTTACTTTGCAAGCATCTATATTGAAAATACTTTAATTTTATAAGTAATTACTATAAATGTAAATATTCTAATTGTTAACGTCGCGATGTGCAAGAAGGCCTATCCTGATCTAATACATAAAAAATCTGAAAAAATATTATTACACAGGTATAAAAAATACCCGTGGTCACTATGCTTATTAAAAATTCTACGTATACAACCAGTCACCCAAGCCGATTCGGACCTTTCGTCTACAACATGGTTGAGTGACCGGAGGAACATAAATGCATACGACTCACAGGATAAATGTGAAGAACGTTATCACCGATACTGGAGTAAGAAAAGTTATCATCAAGTAGATAACACTGAGAATCCCATAGTAGAAGTGAACGTCGTGAAAAATTTCTTAAAAAACATAAAACATTTTCTTTCTAAAGACTTCTGTTATTTGTGAAAATTTAAATTTTATGATAAAAATTGGAATAGTTTGAAATGTCTGTATTTTATAATTATAATTTTACATTCAATAATAGAAAGAGACCTATAGAGAATAAAATTTGAGTACAACATACTAAAATACTTACATTTTTAGCTTTCGAAGCATCATAAGATTCTTGCAAAATTAGAGAAAGTGGAGACTGCAGGAGATCTGTAACAGAACATTAAACATTAGATTTATATTTAAAAGAATTTATATTTAAAAGAACATTAAACAACAGAATTTATATTTAAAAGCGAAGCAAAATCTTAAGTTGGAGATAATGAAAGATTTTTATATTCTGGACTTTAGAGTCACGGTTGAATTTTTCCCCCCAAAAGAAGCAAAAAAATTGATGCTGTGAAGCGTCTGTAACAAACATTAAACATTATATCTTGTTGTTACATTTGAAAAATTGAGTAAATTTAAGTACAATATATGGAACTCTTTGCGATCTTGATCTCCTAGAGAGACTTTATCCTTTTGAGCACTAACTCTAATACCGAAAACGAATATTGAACAAGAAAGAATACAAAAAGACAAATAAAGGACTATCAATGCGCGCGTTTAAGTGACAACTGTCGGACTCACTGACTTTAACATTGCGAATTATAATTTAAATGAATCAATAATGAAATTTAATGTCAGCTATTTTGCTCGAAAAAATATTAAAATATTGCGCAACAAACATTGACTTTACCGATTGCATTGCGCGTGGTCACAAAAATTTTCCGAAAATAAAGCTAATTAGTAAGAAGAGAGAGAAAGGTATGTTTATTTTGAAAATATTATTATTTTTCTAGAAAATGATTATGAAGAAACCTAAATATTAGTTATTAGTTGGAAAGTAAAGAATATTGAAGATATTAGTTGGAAATTATGAAGTATTTCTCAATATTTGCAGAAAATGATAAATTTAATTTTAATTGTTATATTATTATTTTATATTATTTGCCCTTCGTTACACACTTTTAGAATTTCAAATGTAAAAATAGACATGTCAGTCATTTTCTTTTAATCCTTTATCTAATATTCAATCATTGTTCACCCTTTGAAAATAATGTAAAATATCTTCGCAGAAAATATAATCAATACCTCATGTACTGATATGAAAAAATAGTTTTCAGAAATGTATTTTAAGCATAAAGTATTGTAGTTCTTTTTAAATGCATTTTATATACATGTTAGTATTTTATTATAGCTAAAATATATGTGTATATATTTTTAATTGTGGAAATAATACAAAAATATAATATAAATTAGTAAATCTTGTAGACGTGTATTTATTAGATGTATTTCAATGAGCTGCCGTCAGATGGCTATTCGCGTTTCCTGTTGCATACGTCAGTGACCATACGCGTGGTGTGAAAAAATTTCATAAGTTTGAGATGACCCATATCTGTGTTTGATTAGTAATTTCTTAAAATCATACTATGTGACACGATCAATGTGTAAATCTATAATACATAGCGATTTAATAAAATAAATTTATTTAATAAAATAAATTAAATAGAAGAATCTGATGATTGTGTCGTTTAAGAATGATGCATCTACAACATGACATTGCCTGTTGCATTTCATTTTTATTTATTTTAACTCTTGTCAAAGCGGATTTTCAGAATTATTTAAATCCTCAAGTAAGTAAAACAGTTATATATACAATTAAAAATCGATACAAGGATTGAAAAGTATAATGATAAAGTAGGTTCAAATATTATTTATGGTAATAATATAGAATTATATATAGTAATTTGGATCCTAATAAAATTCATTACTTTTTAATTATGTTGATATTTTAAATAGCATTAGCATTTTCGAAAAAAATACATTTTATATATGGATTAAATAAATGGTTATATGCTTTTATGTTCTTTATTTAATTGATTTAATGTTACAGCATAGAATAAATCATTTGCCTGATAACAAATTTAGCTTTAGTGAGTATTTGGAATCTTCTGATAATGATGAAAGAGATAGAACATCACAATGGGATCAGATGTACCAAAATATACCAAAAACTACAATAGATACCGAACAACAAACTTTAGATATACTTAATAAAAGTGAGTAAAATATTTATCAAACTAAGATGTTATATCTCTGTTATACTAAAATGTTACATACGTATCAATTTCCAATTTTCTTTGTATATTCAGATATTATATGGGATTCTCATTGGGCCAAAAATATCAAATTTGGTCAGATATCAGCAGTGTCTATAGATCCAAATGGAAATATTGGAATATTTCATAGAGGAACAAGAGTATGGGGGTTAACTACATTTGACAATGAAAATGTATTTGATAAAAGCAAAGGTCCAATTCAAGAAAACACAGTAATTTTGTTAGATAAATTTGGAAAAAAGTTATTAGAATGGGGTGCAAAGAAATTTTATTTACCACATGGTTTGACAATAGATATGTATGGAAATTATTGGATTACTGATGTAGCCTTACATCAAGTATTTAAATTTGATAGTAAAGATATAGCAAGATTAAGAAAAGGAGAATATAGCCAAGAAACAATATTTTCTAACCCTAAACCTTCATTGGTTCTTGGAGAAGCTTTTGTACCTGGTAACAATGACAAACGGTTTTGCAAACCAACAGCAGTTGCTGTAGAAAATAATGGTGACTTTTTTGTCAGTGATGGTTATTGTAATTCTAGAATTATTAAATTCAATGCTAAAGGAGAGAGAATTTTAAAGTGGGGTAGTAAGTATTTGCATTTATACGTAGATGAATGATTTATGTTAGATTATAATATAATAAATATATTATTACAGGAACAACATATGCATATGCAGAAAGAGCTCTTGTACCAAATGCATTTAATATACCTCATGCTTTAGCTCTTGCTAATGAATTGAATTTACTTTTTGTTGCTGATAGACAAAATGGTAGAGTTGTGTCTTTCTTTGCAACTAATGGGACTTTTTACAAAGAGTACAAGGATTTTAAGAGAATTGGCCCATTGATTTATAGTGTTGCATATGCCAAAGGAAGACTTTATTTAATTAATAATCATTTAATTAATGAACCTTCTAGTTACAATATACATGTCCAAGGGTTTGTTCTTGATGTAAATTCAGGAAATATACTATTTTCATTTCGACCAGGTCAAGACATGGATAGTCCACATGACATAGCTGTGTCTGAGGATGGTTCAGAAATATATGTTGTGGAATTGAATAAGAACACTGTTTATAAATTTATGCAGAGTAAGATTTTAAGTCTTTGAAATATAAAGAATAAAGCCTATTTGATTTACATTTCTTCGAGTAATCATATTGTTCAAATCAATTATCAACATTTTCTTTATAGATATAAATACATCAGTACAAATTGGAAATTCGGTGGTACACACAAACCCTCATCATGAACCTGCACCTTTGACGGATAGTGATATGAACAGCCCTACTGGAGGTACTACAACAGCAACATTAGTCTTATCCCTTGTTACAGCAGCAGTCATTTTTATTGCGCTCTGTATAGCAATTGCTGCAGTTTTAGCAAGATGTCAAAAAAGAGGTAGATTGTTTCAGTATGATGAATCTGCTGTCGAATTCTCAAAATTAGTCGAATAAGAATAATAATTAACTGATTTATTAAATAATAGTTGTGCACGCATGTTAATTAGTTTTTGCAAAATCAAGCGTTTAGTAGTAGTTTTATCAAAAGTAGTTAATTTCGTTAAACAATTATAAAAAATGTCACGAAATATCACATAATTAGAAGTTAAAAAAGAAGGGTTAAATAATTTTACAAATTTAACATCCTACAAACTTGCTATTTTATCTTTAGTTTCTTCTTAAATTTTAACCTCCTCGCTGCATAAAAGCTGCATAAACTTTTGTACTGGTTGTACATATATTTTATTATTTTATTTAAACGTGCTTATAAAGGAAATAAACAGCTACATATCAAACATACACATAAAGATATGAATGCATTAGGTTATTTTTTGGAAACCAGTACAAGAGAGCTGTATATAAATGTATAATTTAATGATTAGGTGATGAAATGGTACTTCAAATATTATTTTTAATCTAATTAAATTTCATTTTTACAAATATTATAGAATTATTATCATGCTGCAATATTAATATTTATTCTGCTTATTCTAGAAAAAAACAATTCCATTTTTTATATTTTGTTACAAGAAATGACTATGACTTGTTACTAAATTATAATTAGCAACTTAAAGTTCATTTACTTAACATTCCATTAATCTTTGACTTGACTTTCATTTACACAATTGAATGTTTAGTAAGTTATATACTTATTGTGTAAATATTGTTTGAAATTTTCTGTGATCGCACAAATGTATAAATATGTTTTATTATAGTCTTATTATTGAATCTTGTATTATTGAATTTTATTATTAAATCTTATATTATACATCTAAAACTAAAGTATTATGAATTTACTTCAGAACTGAATCTAAACTTCTTTTTATGACTTTTTCACAAATATTCTGTTTTGAAAAGTTGCATTTTTTCTTTTCTACCTCTTGTATATGATTATTTATTTATTTTAGATATAACATAGACATATCTTGTAAAAGAAAATATACATGTTTTCATTTTAACAACGTTTTCAGTTATTCCCCTGCGCGTTATCCTATTTAACTTAAATAATTTTCAACAGATTGTGTAAGTATTGAATAAAACATAGTGCACGTTGCTTAAAAATAGATAGCAGTTAGATCCGTCGCTATTTTATATAATGTATAATGCATTATTGATTAAGATTATGGATTTTAGATTCGATAATAATGATAAATCATCGCGTCATTATTACCAAGTACGAGTAAAAAAAAAAAATATTTTCTAATGCTGTTTATTTTTATAAACAGGATGTTTATTAATAATGCGCAAACGAATGCACTGGGAAGCCGAGAGGCGAGAAAACTTTAAACTTCCAAATCTCTTGGAAAACAGAAGAGGCAAGAGTTTCAAGATAGTGGAGAAACGACCAAATCCGCGAGACTTTAGTAAATTGAACACGGAACCAGAAACCTCAGAGGATGAATATCCGGAGAATAGCTTTGCAAAAGTTATTTCATAGTGTTGAACACTTTTAACGAATCAAGCACATGATTTTAATGACGTATCTCTATTAAACAAACTTGTTGTCTTACCTTCCAATTCAGGCTTTTTGCATGTAAATTGAATTTGGTCTCCATGATGCTAGTCTTACGAAGTACGATGTTCAAATTACGAAATGTTCCAATTAATGCCTCACGACTGTTGCCTTTTCACACAAAGTCACTTATTATCACTCACGAAGTTAGGTATTAATTGTTTTGTTAAATTATTTAAAAAAAAGAATATCGAATCCGTTATTTAAGACTTCGTCGTTGACTGTCACCGACTCCCGCTCTCGTTAACCAAAATCAAGTGACGTCATCGGAAATAGCCAACTTCACGATTATTTGAATCCGCTGCATTTAATCGTGTATTCCAATTTAATCGATTTAATTTTATAGAAATTACTATTCCTGCATGTTTTAAATAATAATTATATTTGAGGAAATTAAAATGTTTCTCTTATATTTGAGAAACAAAAGATATTGAAGTATAATATATGTACATATATATATATGTGTGTATGTATGTGTGTGTATAAAATAGTTCCCGCGTTTATACTTACTCGATTACTCGACATTGAATTTGATAGATATCGATATTCTTTTTGGCTCTCTTGTGCAATTAGTGTTTCAAAAGAACTGCCAATGTTTTCAAATTTTGTATTTCTTTTTCGGAGATTTATTTGAGTTAATTTAAATATTTATATTAGTTTTATGTAGTTAATTCATAATAATAAGTCTGTAAATGATGAAGATAAGAGTTAACATTTTCCTGTGAAGCTTTACAAGAAGTAACGAGGAGCTATTTTGAAGGTTAAAGATTTTATTATTATTTCGAAAACATTTGATATTACGTCGAATTACTTTTTATAATATTATAAATATTATTTTATAATATTATAATAAAATTTATATGAATTATTAGTCAATATATAACAAATGCAAAATATTTTGTTTGTACAAAATGAGGTAAACAGATGAATACACACACACACGCGCGCACACACACACACACACACACACACACACACACACACAC